TTCCACTCGACCAATGGCTTGGCGTGTGATGTCACTTGATGGTTTCCTCAGAGCATAGTGGCCAATCCATCTCCATTTCTTCCTGCCTATTTGTTTCACAATTGATTCCTGCTGGGTTGGTTTGCTCCCAGAGATCTCTGTTGCTGATCTTTTCTGGCCGGTCATCTGATCTTGAGTATTGAATGAAGACAAGTGTTGATGAAGGTCTGTAGTTTGTTTGAGATGCTCTTTGTGACGCACTGGCCAAGTCTCTGATCTGTGTAGTGAGTAGCACTGACTTCACATTGGAGTTGAAAATCCGGATCTAATTTTTGATGCTGAGTGTTGTTGACCTCCACACAGACTTGAGAGTAGTGAAAGCTTGTCTTGCTTTTCCGATTCTTGCTTTGATATCCTCGTCAGTTCCGTCCGCCTGTAGTTGAAACGATTCTTCCAAGGTAGTTAAAGGAGGTTGTTTCTTTCAGGTTCCTTCCATTTATGCTGATTGCTGTCTGTTGTTGTTGCTGCTGTTGGTGGTGTTGCCCAGGAATCTTCATCACCTCTGTTTTCTCTATATTTTCTCTTAAATGTTAATATTCACCCAACTTATATGCGATATGTTGAAATACAGTAACACTATAATCTCATCAATCGTTTATCACGCTGATTAATAATCAGAGAATGAAGTTACTGAAAAAAGTGTCAATAGCTCCGTGTTCGACTCCGTGAGGCATTATGATTGGACACCGGTGCGTACTTTCAAAACAATTTGTATGCCTGAATAGTGTCAGGTTACTGAGACAAGATCTGTAATGCTCTAAGAAGAAACGCTCTGGTAGCGCTTCAACCTTCATCAATTAGCAGGAGTGTGCTTCCATCACTGGTAAATGTCGGCTAAAACACCTATTCGAATGCAACCCTATATAAATTTCTAACATTTAAATTGCTCCTAGATGTAACCTGTCAAAACTGCCCTTATTTGCAGATGAATTCAATTCCTTTGCTGCCACCTTTATTGGAAACTCTTTGTCAATAGTTACTGGAGATATCAGTTCCTGTGACCAAAGCTTCTCTACAACATTGGTCACGAAAACATTATCAAGAAAATAGCCTTAATCTAGTGTTCACAAATGACTTCGGAATATTTGAAGCTCGGAAAAGAGCCCCATTACTTAAATTCCGATCACTGTATCATATTATTATTGCCCAAAATATGTGAAAAGCTGTACAAAAGAGCTTTCTTGAACCTTGTCAAGGAAACACAACATAGAAGTTAGTGTTGCAACAAAATATAGAATCAAAGGAGCCTGCTAAAGGATACAAACTGAGACGTATTCACTGAACAAGTTCTAGGTGACATGATCATAAAGATGACGTATTACCTGAAATTCTCTCTTGATGTTTATTATTCAAAAAAAGCACTCCTCTTAAGATCTGACCGCTTCTCCTCTTCTCAGCTCAAAAAGTTTCGCCAAGAAAAAGAAAGTTTATGTAAAATGAAAGATAATCCTGGTGTTAAGAGACTGAAGATTTTAATTAAATCAAAAATACAGAGATAAAGTATGGTCTATAACCAAGTGCTCTTATCATGCAGAACCTCATCAAATATATAGAAACTGTTTAAGGAAATCACAGGTGATAAGCAAATCAATAATGATCCTTCTCCATTCGATGCTGGTACGCTTAGTAAGTCTTTTATATGTCGTCCAGCAGATGGAGTGATCTCAGATGCTACAAGCACAAATAATGACTTCTCCTCTGGTTTTACTACAGACTATGTCCTCAATTGTCTCAAATCCTTGAAACCTGCCCAGTCCCTTGGTCCAGTTGGTACACCAGCTATTATCTTTAAATAATGTGCTGACGCTTTATGTTATCCTCTCGCTGGTATTTTCAATGAATCCTTTTCCTCTAACATTGTGCCTGCCACTCAGAAGGACATAAAAATTGTTCCTGTGAGTAAATCATCAAGTGGTCCAAGTGCTAAGTCTAGACCCATTGCCATCAATTCACCATTTTTTTTAAATACTAGAAAAACTGCTTATCCTTAACTTCGAACCTTCATTGAAGGCTTCTGATGACCCTAAACAATTTGCTTATAAATACATTAGGTGTACTGAAGATGCCGTTATTGTCTTATGTATTACTAATATATGTCTAAAACTTGAGCACTGTGGTAGTAAGTAATTCTATATTAGTTTGTTTATTAGATGTATCACACAGTTAAACAGTATTATTTACTGGATGACGTTTCGAACAAAATTTATTGTTCATAATCATTTCATCAATTATAATCACATGACTTCGAAACTTGGGTTTTATAGTTTTCTTTGTTTTCTCCTATTTGTCTTGGGGGGAGTAGAATTTTCCAGGTATCTGGGACAGGTGATGAATCATTCCTATTACATGTATTTGCAGTCGATAAGATAAACAAAGCTTCTGTTATCAATCTCTCCCTCCATCCACCCTGTGACATTAGATTTTAAAACTGTCATCCTATCCCATCCTATTGTATGGTTGTGTGTAACTGCATGTAGTGCTATAACTGAAGGCTTCCGAAGCCTTACGCAGAGTTCTTAACAAGGCAGGAATAAAAGTGGCTGGCATTCAAACCCACAAACTCAATTAGAAACAAGCTTTGTCGGTTAAAGGATCAATCCTGTGGAGCCTTTAAAACAAAACAATTTAGTTTATTTAATACCCCGCTGGAATGATTGTCAGGTCAAATAAATAGGTCAAACTAGTAGAACAGGGCAGTCAGACTAGCTGAACATAAAAACTTAGCAAAATCTAGATTGGTTGACCCGAATAAGATGAGAAATCTAGAGAATAGTTCAGCTATAGCAATACATGCAGTCACACACAACCATACAATAGGATGGTGGGATAAGATGACAGTTTTAAAATCTAATGTCACAGGGTGGATGGAGGGAGAGATTGATAACAGAAGCTTCCTTTATCGAATCAACTGAGGAGAATACGTGTAATAGGAATGATTCGTCACCTGTTCCAGATATCCGGAAAATGTCTTATGTACTGTCTATATATTGTCTCTAACCTGGACAGAGGTGTCAAATATGTTCTGTGTGCCTTTCTACATCACACATATGCCTTCAACTCTGTACTAAGGCCTCTTTTGTTAGAGGAGCTCACTGTGACACAAACAGGGTGCTGGAATAATAAGTGGCTGCATCCCTATTTTTCTGGTAGAAAGCAGCACACTGTTTATCATGTGAAATCCTCCACCGCTTCAATTGGTCAAGCTTCGTTTTCTTCAGGGAGCTGTTCTTTCCCCTTTTCTGTTTCTTGTGATGAAGCCAATTTTAGTATAATGATGATCTAACTGTTTCCATGCCTGTTACTTCTCAGTCAGACTGTTCCAAAATGAATAGCTTTTCATCAGAAATTAGTCCGTGGTTCCCATCAAGTGATCCTAAGCTAAATCCCTTCAAATGTCAGGTTGTTGATTTCATTAACAGACACAAGTGTGACTTACACGAACTGGTTATTTCGCACGGTTCCACCATTATAGATGATACAGAAGTAGCAATTAAGTCGAATGTTAAATGCCTTGGATCATGTATTTCCTCTGACCATTTCTGGTCTTCCCATGTCGTTTTCGCTTCTAGAAAGATATTTCGGTTGGGGTTCTAATTAAGGAGGTTAAGACAGTTTGATAGCAGTTTGTTAATCCATGTATCCTACCTGTTCTTCCTTATTACCTCCCGCCCTTAATCTTTCCTGGGCTAATTAACAAAGATTTTGTTACACTGTGGAGGGCATTATAGACTGTTATAAGGGGAAGTGTGGTGTCATTAAACCAACTCGTTAGTACTGTAGACAGATAGACACGTGGACTAATGAAAGAAATTAACGAATATTGTCCTGTCGGACTCTGAGCATCTTTTCTATACACAACTCTCCCATCGCATCTCATCTGGTGGAACTAGGAGCAACTATGGAAGACTTAATCCCTGGATAAATAAGTATAAAATCTCTACAATACCTTATTTAACAGGCATACATTTTATGTGATGAGAATTGTGTAAGGCATGATACTACTGACCCTTTTTTAATGTATTCTTCCATTATAATAGTTTTGCTGATATTTTCACTTAATCTAATCTTAGAGAATCATTGAAAAACCAGCACTGGAGTATTGGACAGCTAGCTGTCTCACCCCAGTTTGGGAATCATCGGCAATACTCACCTACCACCATAGTTCGACCCCACAAAATTCCAGCTGCAAGACAAGCTCGTTAACTATTACTCAGCCACTGGGATGCGATTCAACGGTCATTCCATAAAATTCCAATTTCTGCTAGTTATAAAAAATACCCACAAAAGCTTTTAGCTTAGATGAACAATAGCTGATATCATTCAGGGAGGGAGAGAGAGAAGGAGAGAGCAAGTGGAAAGCAGTCAGTACTTGACAGTTGTTTCCTTCCAGTTTCAGACTATTTAAAAGTACGCGCCTATGACTCCATCTGAAATCAGACGAAGAACCGTCAGTTTAGGCGGCTGGTCTACTGATCATTCAATCAGTGGATTATAAATTTCAATTTCTGCCAATTTTCAAACTTATACACTTCAAGAGGTTCCAGGTAGTCGAATATCAGGGAAACCTAGGACTGATACCCGTTGCACACAAGAAGTGGCTGTCATGGCCCTCATAACCTAGCGGATAGAAGCTTTTAGCGTTTAGAAATACGCGTACAGGGTTCCAGTAGTTCACCTAAGAATTCAGGTACACGCAGATGACGAGACCCGAATGGGACGATATGTGCATCCTAGATCCCAACTGTTAGTCACTATCAAACAGACTAACTTCGCCTTAATTCTTAAACATAGTCGAAGTGTCCGTACTCAGAGCCAAGTATGCATCAAAGACAGATTACTTCAGTTCAATACAATCTATCGGGGATAAAACGTGTAGTAACCTAAAAAGCAAAATAATTGTTTTCCCCACCCTCAAAAAAAAGAAATTTTAACAAACATATGAAACTAACTGACATACATACATTGATTTAATAGTATCAATGTCTCCTTTTCTTCATTATCATCACTGATCACCTGATTTTTCAACTGGTTGGCTGCATCAATTTCCGCCTTCAAACGATTACGTAATACACCTGGTAGAGAATTCCACTCTGACTCATTATTAACATTCACATTTGGTACTGATTTCAAATTTAACAATCGTAATATTTTTCTTTTATACTTTTCAATCATTAACTGGTAGTATTCTTTATTTTCAGTAATTTGATTTATATTATAATTATAATGATTATTGTTACTTTTGATATCGGCGGCATCATTGTCTTGACTCTCCTCCAGCATATCTGATTTAAATAACTCGCCTTCAGTTGGTTCAGACCATTTGTTAGAATTCTGATTATCCAGAGATTTCGTTAACTGACGATTATTATTTCTTGATAATTGTACATAAAATCTCTCGGATCGTTTAAAATATTCACGTGATGTTAACGATGCATCAACTGGATTGAAAAGTTTTGAAAATTCAAATTCATACTGTGTGATTGTTAGTAGTATAAGTAGAAAAGACATAAAATTGAACTTGACATTGTATACACTGTTTATTCGCCATTGTTGAAAGCATTTAATCGTGAAGAGTGTCAGATTCTTGAATAGTATGATGATGGATAAGAAGGAGAAATACTGTTCTAGACTACTGTAGGAATTACAGAATTTCATGTTAAGCAATTGTTTAATGAGTTGACAACGCATGGTTTAGAGTTTCAAATAAAGCGTTTATATGGATATATATATATATGTCTATGATGAGTTAATTTATAGTAATAGTAATAGTATTAATTATTATTATTATATAATTGAATGAGAGAAAGTCAACCGATCACATAATAGAAGCCTACTCAGCAACCCTAATGGAATTTATTCACAGATATATACTCTAATCCTTAAACGAATCATTATTGTTGTCTTTGAATTTTCCGTGTGTTTTCGAGTAGTGTGTGTGGGGGGCTGAGGGTGAGCAATGCGTGGGTCCTTGTAATTATTTATTTATTTGTTTATATATATATTTTTTTTATTGTATTTTTTAATTGACGTGAGAAGTTTTGACCAGTTGGGTTCACTTTATTGCATCCCTCCCACACACACACACTCAAACACTCTTTCCTACTTGCTTCCTACTCCGCCTCTCTTTTATTCTGCCATGTGTATGATTCGTCTGCCAAATACATTCAATAATAGGTGTCTGCTTCTGTGAGTGAGTGAGTGTGTGTGTGTGTGTGTGTATGTTATTTTACTTTGATCCTTTTCTGTAGTTGACGCTAATGTGTATGTAACATGGATGAGGAACGTTCTCTGAAGACGACTTATCGGTGAGTGCGTACATGTAAACTCCACTCCGCTGATAAAACAGCAATTGTTTCACTGCTTTGTTTGTTTGTTTTTTTCAACATAAAAGTAAGCAACAAATATCACCAGTATCTACATCAATATTGCCTGACAGTCATTCATAATAATAATCCTTTTTGGTTCAAAAATCAAATTTTATGGATATACAGACATGAAAGAATATTTTCCCCTACACGAGCCAATAAGATTTCGGATATAAAATAAAATGCGTTTTCTTTAGAAAAAAACGTGATTTTATAATGTAAACAGATTCATGCATGTATGGTCTATTTATTTTTTATTGGGACTCTTCGGCAGTGCACAAACACCCTTGGGGTTCAAGCGCAGAACCTTCTGGCTGTAAGGCCAGCTAATAGACCCTTCACCCACAGGTCCTAGTGGATACATGGTCTAGGAGCTCGCCTTACAGCCGGAAGGTTCTGAAATTGAACCCTGGTGGTGAGTGTGTACTGCCGATGGGTCTCAAACTGGGACGAAATGGCTGGTTCTCCAAGGTTCTCTAACTAATGTCAACTGTTAATCGAACCTGTTACTGATCAAATCCGTGAGCAAACCAACACTCACTTAGTCTGTTTATTACATTTTTACATTTAAAGCAGAATTTAAATGGATGAATAATGGTCAATAGGTTTGTCATCACAACCTGTAGGCTATGGGTTTGATCCCTTATGGTGTCGTTGATGAGTAATGCTGAAGGGTGGCCAGCTGGGGTGAAACAGGTGTTCAATGAATCACTGGTTTTTAGTGGTCGAACTAACTGGTGTTGATCTGTGAGGAAATCTACACGGTGAAATTAATAACGGCGCCCCTAATGGTTACTTACTAACTCTGCATGTAATTGCATTGATATAACATTAATTTCAGTCTTATAAATGTACTTTTTTGATTGGTTTTTGGATTTCATCGTGAGCTGACATCGGTTTTAGAACCATTGGAAAACCGGCACTGGAGTACTGGATGGCTGTTTCGTCGTAGTTTAGTACTCTTCACCATTAGGCACCCAACGGTATTTGGAACCAGGACCTTCCTGTTACAAGGTGAGCTCGTATACCATTGAGCTCCTGGGATCCAATATAATAGCCCATGAATTCTAACTTCATGAATTGGCAGAAGTTGTGATTCATGGACCATGATCGGGTCTTAATAGTCCGAAACTAAAAGGAAACAGCTATCCAGTACTCCATTACTGGTTTCCCAATGTTTCTCTAACCGATGTCACCTCATAATGAAATCCTCTAACCAATCAAACAAAATCCCCACAAACCAATACTTGGAAACTACTTTTTATTGAGAAAATAAATTCATTTTGTGGTATGTATGTGAATAGAACGTTTTCGCTCCCTGAAAACCGAGTGGGGGTCCTGGACAGCTGTTTCATCTTAGTTTGGAACTCTTCCTTTAGCAGTACGAATCCGTGAACATATCTGGAACTCGAACCTAAGACACTCACGTGGCGAGATTAATATGTTAATATTCAGCCACTGGCACGGATTCCACTGGCTGATGAGTTTCATGTTCTTCGACTTTTGTGATATGATTCATTTATAACCGATAATGAAAACAAATCGCATTCACAGTTTATTGTCAATTTAAGTAGCTTCAGTTTACCAGACTGATTTGGATAAAGTTGATGATGACGATTGAAAGTGGAGTAAAAACTCGCCGTCATCAAAATTCGGGTAAGTGTATTCAGCATCCCAGCGTACAGCTCTATTCACTGGACTGGAAAAAAATACTGTATTCCGATCTCAGTTGGTTACTTGGTACAGAGCTGGCCAAATATCCTGACCTCTTCATTTAAAGTTATCCTGAATATTGGAAATTTCATTTTATTTTTAACTGTCATTGATTAATTTAAATGAATTTCAGATTTTCCCGTCGATTGATTGGACCAAAGTGCTCGGTCTCAGGTTGACATGTCGGCTTCTTGGACAGATGCTTCGACGATGTCTGGGCATGTAATTAGAATCTAATTGGTGGATGGTGACTAGCAGTGGAATCCAGGACGCGCATTTCGTCCTGGGAACATCGGCACTCACTAGGAATGCAGATACATCCGGATGACGAGTCCCAAATAGGATGAAATGCGTATCCTGGATTCCACTGCTAGTCATAATCCACCAATTAAATTCTATCATTGATTAAACCAGAAGTTATGTTACATGGTGGACAGTGAATGGCAGCTGAATCCACGGTGAACATTTCGCCATGTGTTGGAGACTCGTCATCTAGATGTATCAGCACCTCCAGTGAGTGATGATATTTCCTCAGAGACCCTAACCCAGCGCGTTTCACATGCCAGGCGTTATTCACTAAGCTGCTAGCACCCTCACGGTTCAGGCTCAAGCTTGGCTGGTAAGTATCAAGCAGATAGGAAAATACGCATTCTGGTTTATTTAGGACTGGTTTATATTAATCTGAGAATATTGTGGATTATTATTATTATTTTATTACCACACTTCCGTACAGTTTATCCTAATTCCGTGCTGTATTCTGATCATCTGTCATCCCACTGACTATAATTCACTATGTGAAACTTGCCTTCGTAAACTCATAACTCAGGCATTTTATCACGTATGATTATCAAAACTAAATGCACAATACTCCTCAATTCCTAATGAAACCACACTTAATTATATCCTTCAAATATAACAGAGAAGATTTGTAGGTCAGGTGGATGATTTTGATGTGGTTATGTTTTCTGACCTAGATAGTTTATTTGCGAAGCTTTCATCACCCTACTAGACAACATCTTCAGCGCATACCTCAATTTGAAGTGACCTTTCAGATTTCTCCACGAGTTTATTAACCATCTCTCCTGGTGACCTTGAACGCGATTGGTTGTTTTTGTGTGTTTTCACACCTTCTAGGCTACTTGTATTGGAACTAATTGTTTCTTTGACTTGAACTTTGACCCTTTGTGTGTGAGGTTTCTTTCTTATCGGTTGATAAATTTTGTCTATCTCGATGAGTCTATTGACTGATGATTCACTGGAGTGCAAAGCTTCTTAAAATTCTCTAGAATTCTTCGTGTTTCCTCTGTCTAATATTTGAACATTGTCCCAGACGAATTGATGTCCATCGTTGTCTGTATGCAATGTGGCGATATGAGGGAGTGGATATCATGTCTTTTGACAGCTAGCTTATGTTCATGGATACGGAGACGAAGGTGACGTCCACTTTGGCCAATGTAATGTTTTTCACAGTTGTTACGATTTATCTTGTAGATGATGTTGGTTTTATCTTCTTCCGCTGTTGAGTCTTTTAGTTGACATACAATTGAGTGAAGTGATTTTGTTGGTTTGTGTGTGACTTCAATTCCTAAGGGTTTGAATAGTCTTGCAGTGATTTCTGAGATATTCTTTATATATGGAGAAGAGTAGAAGAATACATTGCTGGAACATACTGAATAGATAAAAAAAGGCTTTGGTGCTTGTTGAGATAGGCATTTATTCAATGTCTTAATGAAAAGATACCACTACTACTAGGCATCAACGAACATATAATAAATGTGTTAGTTGCAGGCGATTGACAGGAAGTCTAGTTTTGTCAGGGTTGCATGCTTGTCAGTGCTGTTTAGGAAGGCGTATCTGAAGTCTTGAACAAACGCATGTCCTCTTCGAGATTGGAACCCGCTTCATCAATATCTACATTCATCCAGACACCAGGCAGTAAGCAATGGTATGAGCCTAATCCTTGGTTTGGTGTAGACTGAATTTAATCAAGTTTGGCCATGGATTGATATCAGTCAAAGAATCGCTGAGAAATCTGTGAAGATCAGATGGCTGTTTCACCCTAGTTCGGGACGCATTAGCATTACGCACCTACAACCAGGTTTCGAAACTAAGACCTTCCGGTTACGGGATGATCGCGTAGAGCACACAGACACTCGGACCTAAACCAATGTTCTACAAATTCCCTTCCTCGACGGGCAATGTTAACTGACATAGAGTCAGGCTGGAAATGAACCAGTGGTGGTCAAACAAAAACATGGCATCAATCAGTCAATGAAATCCACAACGGTTAGTTTAAGCCAGTCAGCCACGTAGGGAAGGAAGTGTAGACTTCCTGACTGGTCAAAGTCCTCGGGATGGTAAACACCAGTGGCTGGATAGAATTGATGATATGGCTCAAAATCGTCCTCAGTGTCTGGCGCAGATGCATCC